TCAGATTTCACCTGTTCTCTCAATACTCATTGATGTTGAGTGTTTGAGGGGTATAAAGAGGAATTGAGATGACTCCTGCCCTTGAAGGAACTTGTATTTTAGGTCCTATCAAAAATAACTAGAATATAAACTCAAAAGTGAAAAGTACCTTAAATGCTTATAGTTCAAGGACACTGAGAGTTTGGAGAAAATATTTTTTTTTTAGAGACAGTAAATTTCACTCTGAATTTTATAAAGTAATATAATAAGTTTTGGAGTGACCTTTTAGAAACTTCAAACAGAACTCAGAATACTTATTCTTTTGAAGAGGAAAAAAAATTCAAATAAGCAAATACACACCTGCATGATTCCAATATTGATGCATCTGCTCCCAAGCTCTAAAACTAATTAGAAATTTGTTTCATATCTGCAATTAGCCTTTAAAAAGATGGGCATCCATTAACACAGTTTGGTAGTATAATGACAAGCAATTAGTGATAAATTGTTCTATCCTAGAAGGAAATAATAATTGAGAGTAGATGATTTCTAAAGGAATTAAAACATAATTTATTTTTCTAAATTGCTAACTTAATTTTTTAAATTTAGTACAAAGAATTCAGTTTAGGAATCTTACTCTTTGGGTGTGTGTAGAACTTGAGGAAAATAAATTCCTTTTTCTTACTTTGGCTCTTTCTAGTTACCTTATCTCTACCCTTCCTCCTTCCTCCATCCTCCTCATCTCACATATCCTACATATCCTCTGTAAATAAAAATAGAAAAGCAGGATGGGGGATGGGGTAACTGGGTGATGGGCATTAAGGAGAGCAGGTGATGTGATGAGTAGTGGTGTTATACACAACTAATGAATCATTGAACATTATATCAAAAATTAATGAGGTACTATATGTTGACTAATTGAATTTGAATTTAAAAGAGGAAAATATGAGAGTACTTTCAAGAACCGGGAAGTTGAGAAAAATTCCCTACAAGATGAAATTACTGATACTTATTTGAGAGATTTAAACAATTGATTGGAAGCTGTAGAAGGCAGGTATCATCAGTTCAATATAAGGAAAATTTTCTTACAGATTAGGATGGGCTAAACATAAGTTTCTTGAATACTTATAATTCTTCAATTTTACCAACTATGACTGGAAAATCCTTTACTGAGTTGTAGAGTTGATATGAGCATTCACTGGGGTCTGGTGAGGAGATGGACTAGTTGATGTATAAGTTTTCTTCAGGCACTGAATTAGCTTCTCCCACTGAAATTATTTTAATGGAGGAGTTACCTGCATTGTGCCTTCTGTCAGAAAGTTGTCTTGGTTAATCCCTGCCACTGTTTTGAACTGAGACATACAGATAATCATGAGCCTGCATACACATGCCATTTAGGAAAAGAATGAAACTGAGGCATAATATTAGATGTGAGATGCTAAAGGACATTAGGTCATTCCTTTTTCATTTATTGCCGCCCATGTGTTGGAGGAGAACTGACTCTTTCGGAAGGATGGATGGATCAAGAAGTTTTAGAATGGGAGCTTGTTGTGGTTCTGTTCAGTTAAATACAATATGGCTAGAAGTTAGCCATCTTTTGTGCCTATGCATAAAATTCTCACAAATATAGCTCTATTGCTGATAATAATCTCTGTATATTTCCCAACACAGTATTTCCTAAGACAGTATATCTGCCAGTATGTGTAGGCCAGGCCATGGGAGAAAGTAACTCAGATCTCTAGATATTATAGAAGGTGCAAGGAAGTATTGAACAGGTCAAATGTGCAGATTTATTTGAAATAATAGCAATACTATTGTTGGACAAAGCTGCTGTCACTAAAGAGAGTGAGAAACTCAATTTTAGGTTTAATGTTATTCAGTTCTTTGACCTCCCGCCAATCAATTCCCCTCTGGCATAGTTAGGCATCAACAACTGAAGTTAACTCCCTCTAGCCACACTGCCTGTAAAATATGTATAGCTTTTACAACCAGCCATGAGAGTGCAACCCTACACAGGCTACAAAACATAAACTGTTTCTCAAAATTTCTGCCTGCAAGTTACCTATATCATACTTAAAATTCATTGGCCAAATCAAGTTGCTTGACACATCTGAATTCAAGGAGTAGGGGAAATATACACCTTATCTAGGCCTAGAGGACAATGGATATTGTTTAAGAGTAAAGCACTCAATCACATGACCTTAACTTTTAGAGCAGGAGTCAGCAAACTACAGCCTGCCACACATTTTGTAAATAAAGTTTTATTAGGACACAACCACACCCATTCATTACATATGATCAATGGCTGCTTTTGCATCATAATGGCAGAGTTGAGTGGTTATGACAGAGACCATATGACCAACAAAGCCTAAAATATTTCTTCTATAGTTCTTTACAGAAGATGTTTTCCTACCTTGATTTAGAGAAGCAGAAGGATATATGCATAAATATCTAAAATCCAATGTATTTGCTTTCTTTTTTTTTTTTTTAAGATTTTATTTATTTATTTGACAGACAGAGATCACAAGTAGGCAGAGAGACAGGCAGAGAGAGAGAGGCTCCCCGCTGAGCAGAGAGCCCAATGTGGGGCTCAATCCCAGGACCCTGAGATCATGACCCAAGCCGAAGGCAGAGGCCTGACCCACTGAGCCACCCAGGTGCTCCTGTATCTGCTTTCTTATTTCATGATTACAGCCCTTTTGGGGAAGCAGGCAAGGTATACATTTAAATAAAAATCAAGTGGAGGTATTATTAAGAAAATGTGCCCTAAGACCAATATTTTTTTAAGTACTTTGGAACTGCAAAGGAAACATCTGATTGAAAGGATGAGGGAAGATTTTTTAGAGGAAATAGTATTTGGGATAAGTATTGAAAGGAGGAAGGATTTTCTTAGGGTTACCCTCCAGGGAAAAGTATTGCAGAAGGAAGGAAAGACTTGAACAAGGAAGGTTTAGGGTGTGTTAAAGGAATGGAGAATATTTGATTGTGGTTAAATATTGGTATTTATGATGGCGTATGAGAGATGGTACTGTTCCTGGAATCACAAAATATTATCTTGAATTTTTAAATTAGAACTATGTTATTAGACGATGCAACAAGGGTGTTGAAACGTGTTCAGGCTTTGAACCATGCCTTTGTCATATGATAGTTGTGCGACCTACCTGTGTCACCTTAACCAAACTATTTAACCTCTCTGAGCCTCAGATATCCCTCCTAGTGAAATGAGGATAGTTAGATCCTCATAGTTTTTTGAGGATATAAATAATGTACAGTGTCTGTGCTGTGCCTGATACAGAGTAGGTGTTCAAAAATTATAGCTGTTATTATTACTGTTACTCTTTTTAAGCTATTGTCAATCTGCTTTGACTTTTGCAGCCTGCCCATTCCTAATTGACTATACTTTCTGAACTTTATGCCCCTTTTCTCTCTTTCTCTTGCTCTCTCTCTTTCTATATTTCCATAGACATATATATTTATATTCACATATTTATATAATTATAATTAATGACTTGATAATTTTAATATATAAATAATTATAATTATTAATAATTATTATGATTTATTATACTATAATATTTATTATATATTATAATTATATAACTACTATATGTTTATATATAGAGAAATATACATATATATAGAGAGAGGGAGAGTGGTGAGAGAGAGAGAGAATGCATGCACATGCATGGTGGCAGGGGGAAGGACAGAGGGAGAGAATCTATTGCAGCCTCCTCACTGAGCCCACAATCTGATGCGGGGCTGGATCCCACAAGCCGTGAGATCCTGACCTGAGCAGAAATCAAGAGTCAGACGCTTAACTGACTGAGCCACCCAGGTGCCCTTTTGGCCCCTTTTCGTGTCATGCTTTCTGACTGATACAACCTGCTACTATTAGCTACCTGCGGAGATCTGTTACTATTTAACATCCGTCTCAAATTATCTTCTTTCTATAAAGTCCTCAAAAGGGCTTCCCATAATTTAAAACTAAATCTTTTCCTTCCACTTCCTCCCATAATATTTATAATATATTTTATTATATTTTAGATCTTATGTGTGTGTTGTCTACTTTAGTCATTCATAAGAGTCTTGAGAGAAGGAACTATATCTTGGTCTTGTTAGACTCTTTGTTGTATAATTTTATAAGCAGTTTTCACTCATAGCAGGATGATCCAGAAAATATTTTATTTCATGGTAGGAAGCATCTAATTGAGGAACCATCTTAGAAAAGTGTTAGTTCTGCAACAAAGTTAATCTTTATAAATAAGAAAAAATATAAGGTCAAAAGTTGATCTAATTGTTGACCTTTCTCTAAATTTTGAAAGCAATTAAATTGAATTGTATTCTTTCCCTTTAATTTATAGGGAAGGCAGCTTTGAAATTGCATTTATGAAAGTCTCTGAACATAAAGAAGATTTACCATTATTGTTTATTTTCTAAATGTTTAATGAATGGCCTGGGACCTTCCTAAATTTCTATTGTATCAAAGTCACTAATGATTGACAGAATGTTCAAAATGGAGAATCCAAACATATGGCTTAAAATCACACAGTTGTCTCTCTTCATTTTGATAGGCTCAGATATTTGAAGCAGTACTCTCAAAGTAAAAGAGTCATAGCCTTGAGGCTGGAAAGATGAGTCCCTGGAGTATGGAGGAAGACTTAGAGCTTTTATTTATGTTAAATTTTTATGCCATCACTTAAAGATCTCTCTTTTTAATGTTTAAAATATCCATTATATATTTCTCTAGTATTTTAGGTATAAGATTTCTAAATAAAAATTATATGTGTATGTTCAAAATTTATTTACTGTTGGAGTATAGAATTTAAAAAAAACTGGAGGGGCGCCTGAGTGGGGAGCCTCTGCCTTTGGCTCAGGTCATGATCCCAGGGTCCTGAAATCGAGCCCCGCATCAGGCTCTCTGCTCAGCAGGGAGCCTGCTTTCCCTTCTCTCTCTGCCTGCTCTCTGCCTACTTGTGATCTCTCTCTCTCTCTCTGTGTGTCAAATAAATAAATAAAATCTTTAAAAATAAAACAAAACTAGAGATCACTAATTTAAAGGAAAGCAATATATAAATATATCATATATATGACATATACATGGTAAGTGACAATATTTAGTATGTATCTCTTGTATTTATGAGCTTTTAGAGACAATAGTGATGGCTTTCTTTTTATACAAATTGCATTATGATATAATACACATTTTTAAAAAAATATTGGCTTCTGGTGGTGAAGAATCTTCTGGTAGCTTCGGGATTCCATCCAGCATTTTTAAGTTTGGCAAACAGGAGAACACTCTAAAGCAAAAGTTAAAAAAAAAAAAAAGTAAGTATACTGAACAAAAGCATTGTTGATTGAGAGATGAATGTCTATCATTTTATTCTGTTTTTTTTTTAAATCTTTACAATAGGGTTATAATAAAATGATCTTTATGTTCATTGAGCTGATCATGCTGCTGTATCTTGCCCTCTCCGGGAGCTCCCATATAGTTCTACAGATCATAAGTATAGATCAGAGAAGTGGTGCTGTGTACAGTCCATTTTTATAAGAGAATTTCAGTCCAGTTTTACAACGTTCTATAAAGGAAAAAAAAATGAAGGAATTTAGCCAAATAACCATGAGAGAAAGAATGAGATAATATGTGTGCACATTAGAAAGTTAAAAGTTTTGTTTTTTTTTTTAAGAAGTAAAGAAAACACATGTTGTTTAATGATAGTTAAGGAAGAATTCTGGCTCTAAGGCATAAGAGAAGAGGTGGGAAATAGTCTTGTCCTGAGTTATTTTCTCTTGATAGAGAGCATTTCTGAAGATCACATTTCAGATTTACACAGTCACTTCCAGGTTCAGGAAGGGATCCTGCTCATCAGCCCAGTTAAATAGTCAAATGCCTAGCAGAATTATAAAGCAGTGTTTCCTTTCAAGTGGATAGTTTTTCTAGATATGGGAGTTCTGTGGGCTCAGACCAGAGGAAATGCATATTAGGACTTGCCCAGGATGAAAGATACCAGAACCTGTCAGTAGACATGCCATGTCAACTAATGGTGGTGTTGACCTCCTTGGGTGCTCTCGTTGGCCACATAATTTTCTTAGCACTAATTACTTCCTAAACATTATCTTATTTAATCCTCACACCAGTTCTGTCAGGTTTTTGTCCTCCATTTTAAGTCACTTATCCAAGATCATAAAGCCTGTGGGGGACAGTACAAAGATGAAAATCTAAGCCTTCTGACCCTAATGTTCAGACTTAGCTGACAGGAAACCCTAGCTACTACTTTTCAAAAAGTCAAACTGTGGTGAACTCAGATCACATTGACTTCTGAAGAAGAGTAAAAGAGTTTGCCTGTGGTTGTCCCAGGACATGGGGCTGCCTTCTACCTACTGGGACTTACACTATGAGCTTTATCAGTAAGTTTTTTCTCTTTTGAACTGTGCTTTCTTCTTATTGGAGGATCTGAAACAAAGGAGGAAGGGAAAGACAGTCACAATTCTAGGTGACAATGACCAAGAAAGTCTTATACTTAAATAATTCTGATTATGATATAAGGGGACACTGAAAGTCTGGCCCAAATCCTGGACACAGAGATACCCAGAGACAGAATGAAATTTGTTATAATCCTTAAAGTGTGGGTTTTGGCTAGGTGACTGAACCCAAATTTGGATGAACTTGGGAGTTCAGTTTGGTTTGGGCAGACCTTTCTGTTTAAAGTATCCCTGTACTATGCAAGTCAATACAATCTGGCTTTTTATAGCTTGAATGCCAGTCTGCATCCACCTTGGACTCAATCCAACAGAGTTAATGTTAGAAAATAGAAGAAACTCATTATATCCCTCATTCTCACATAACTCTCTACCACATCATAAATTTTGAAGACAGATTTATAGTGAGACCTCAGGGCATATCAGATTTCAGACAGTTAATCTTAATTCTATTGTTGTAAGGCATCCTTTGAGGGGAAGCAAGTAACTGAATTGGGAGCAAAATAAAATTCCACATATAAATTAACAAAACTAAAATGTAGTACTAATCAATTGTCTTTATGACTAGAAATGTGCCTTTTTATGAATGATGTTGAAATGTCCAGCTAAACCTCCTCTGACTGTAGGAAATACAATTTTAAATTTCAAAATGTTATTATAGTTAAATCTTAGTTCAATTTTAAAGCAACTGTGCTGCTAGTTTTCACTTATGTAAAAGCAATTTGAGAATTTATTATCACAGAACATGAATTTTGCCTTCAGTCTATAGTCATGGGGGAGACAATGGCAGTAATAAGATTTATGTAGGAACAACAGAGATTAGAATTCTTATTTTGACAATTTTTTGTTATACATCAGGGTTTAAAGAGTCTAATATTATCTAGGCCTCAGAATATGGTTGTTGTCATGGGAAAATGGCAGTTTGAGAAAGGAAGATAGTGAGAACTATGTCTTTTATTGAAGTCGAAGGACATAATCATAGACCAGGTACACACCTAGAGATGATCTAATCTTTTGTATAACAGATTCAAACTGAGACATGAGTTGACTTGTTATCTGGGGACAAATACAAGTTCTAAAACTCAGTGGCTTGTTTTTGCCCTTTAAATTCCCACAAGCAGTGCTGGGAATTAGTTAGGGAAGAGCATACTCCAAGGTATACATTGCATTATTACCATTAGGAATCTTCCAGTAGTGACAAAAGAATAAAATGGTTTATTCTTCACAGGTTTTCAAGGACCTTCAACCAGTGGGGTAGATTGAATCAGTCACTTCTTTGTATCCATTTAATGGTGCCCTTATGGCCCAAAGGAGTGAAAATAAAGTCAAAGAATAGAGGTGCCTGGGTAGCTTAGCTGGTTGAGTATCCAGCTATAGATTTTGGTTCAGATCATGATCTCAGGGTTGTGAGACTGAGTGTGGCATCAGGCTTTGTGTTGGGTATCAAGCCTGCTTGGGATTCTCTCTCTCCCTTTTTCTCTTCCCCTCCCCTGCTCACTCTTGCTCTCTCTCTCTCCCCAAAAAACAAAACAAAACAAACAAAACCCAGAGAATAAACCATTTATAAAACTATCACATGGACATTGATAGGAATCTGTACATAGAAATCTTTAAAAAGACATAATATCTATTAAACATTATGAGAGAAAACATAGGATTTGAGAGTCTAAAATGAAGCATCTTTGTATATGTAAAGTCACATTATAAGAGAAGCCTATAATTTTAAAGCAATCATAAATTATCTGAGAGAAGAGTATATTGTAGAATTTTTTTTTTTAAAGATCAGTTCAAAGCTCTTCAGGTGGGATCAGAAGCATGAAATGTTCAAAATATAGTAGATAGGATAAATATTTGCCAAGTAAATTTAAGTTCCAGGAAAACAGCCAATCAAAGTATAACATTCAATGAAGAACATAGATGACAAAGGTGTTTGGGGGCCTTACCGTTTCCGGTAATTTCGGTGAAACTCACAGGGGTTCCTCTTGAGCGTAAGGGATTCTAGTGGAGTGCACCATAAACTTGAGAGCCCAGTCAGAGACTCAATGTGGTTTTCAGCCAAAGATAAATGCTGTATCTGAGGTATCTTTGGCAATTGTTTGAAAGATGTGAGATGGTTTTTGTTCATATTTAAAACTCTGCATCTGGATAAAAAATAGAAACACCTTGTCATTTGTCTTCTGAAGAAGATGGTTGACTACCAAATCTTGCACAAAACTAGCATGCCTCATCTAGACCATAACCCCTCAAAGGAGTGACAGTGATATTTTCTACAACTGTGGTTTATAAGAGAAATATTTATATCAAAATATGAAGAGAAAATAAGCTGAATATATGAGACTATAAGCTTGCTGAATACAGAAATCTGTTTTCTTTTCCAGTGTATACACTCAGTACTTGGCATGGTAGTTGGTCTATGGTGGGTTTGCAATATGTCTCAAATGAAGGAGTGAACGGCTGCAATGAATGAGTGAATCTCAATGATCTAGTTGTTCACACAGACACATAACAACTTATGGACAGTATTGCCTCCAAGTAGTGAGATCTGTTCTTTTTTCCCTATTTTTTCATACTTAAATTCTATATTGAAAAAATAACGTTTTAAATTAGAAAAAAAAAGCTGGTTATATATAAAAGAAAACTAAAATGTATCCTTAGGAAAAGAAATGTGTGTTGGGCACTGAGGTTGAATACATTTTCCTGACATATCCTGCTTCTCAATATTTTTGCCTTAAAGCTCTAATTGTATAAGGCCATGCAAGTAGAGGAAATAATTCAAATCTATCACTGATACATTGCCTTAAGGAAAAATTCTTTATGTATAAGCTGGGATTAAATACCATGAGAGAAACACAGGGAACTTATTATGGCCTTGTACCCCACAAAGACACTTAGTAAATAATTATTGCTAATGGTAAAGATGGTGCTAAACAGAGAGAGAGAGAGAGAGAGAGAGAGAGCTTCCACACAACTCTATTAGAAAAATCCAGTTTAAATTCCCTACCCGACTGAATTGTAATTTTTTCACATCTCTTCATTTCCTTGTTTCTTCCACTCTCTCCTCATATGGACATTTTATACAGTCCTAATCATACATTTGATAACTTTGGGTTTTTACTCTTTTCCAGGTTACACATAAGCTTTTAGGAGTACTTTAGTGATGATGATTTCTAATGGAAGCCCCAGCCTAAGCATTTCCTGCCTCTCTGCCCCTCTTTCTGTCCTCTTGTGAAATCTGTTTTGTTCTTGTCCGCTAGTCATTTTCTCATTTTCAATGTATATCCACCTTGGGCTCTGAGATTCAGCCCATCACACATCCCCAGTCTGCAGGATGTTAGGGGTGAAAAGCAGCAAACCAATTGTGGTGTTTTTTCCTGGGGCAGAAAGAAGGAGGCCATGAATTAATCAACTTTTTTCTCTTTTGACACCTTGATTTGGCAGTTGTAAAATTTGAGTTGCAATTACATAATTTGATATTATGTAGTCTATTTCTATAGAAAGAAAAGCCAAAAGAATACATCCAGAGAACACTAAATCTGGGGCAAGTCTTTTCTTTAATGATTATGGTTTTTCTTTTTCTCTTTTTTATGTAATGTATCAAAGAGTTAGAGGTTTATTGATCTGGATCAGGCCAAGTTCAAATACTTCAAGTACACAATATTCTAGTTCAGTATTTCTAAAGTATGCCATGTGACTATGAAACATGTTTTTGTTGCATGTATATTTAAATATGTATTAGAAATATAACTAATGTTATCACTATCATATCCCTAGAAAAGAGTCTGGCAAAACAAAAACAGAAACAAAAACCTGAATAAATCAGTATCAACTACCAGTGATTTTTATTTATAGTAGTGATATTAATTTTCTTTGAGAATTTTTATTTCAGTATTTAAAAATTTTTTATTTAAGAAGAACATAAGTAGGGGCACCTGGCTGGCTCAACTACTAGAGCATGCAACTCTTCATCTTGGACTTGTGCGTTTAAGACCCACATTGGGTGTAGAGATTACTTAAAAAGAACACAAGTAAAGTCAAATGTTATGTAAGTCTATCTAAAATTTTGGAGGGGCTTTGGAAATGGTTGAAGATACCCAGAGACATTGCATATTCTGACACCTCCATCTCCTGACTGCTTCCCTCTCCCACGTGGCTGTGATGGTCTTTTTATCACCCAGGGATAAGTGTTCCCCGCTCAGAGATGTAACTTAACCAGCTCTAGGATTTACCCGTACTTCTTGCGTCTGCCTGATTTCTTTCATCTCCTACTTCTTGCCACTCTACCTACCCAGTGTGCCTAGTGCAGCAGACAGCAGCTCTCTAAGAAAGGAGTTCTCACAATCCTGAGCAAAAAAGCAGATTATCTTTAGTGTCAGGAGTTTGGGATCTTTGGAAGACCGAAGAATCTATATTTTTTTTAAAAAACTTTTAGTTTGTTTCTGTTGCTATTCTGATTGACTATCCTCACCCTTCCGTTAGACTGTGACCTTGAAACCAAGACTCTTGTCAACTACCTGTAGTCTTTCCTCATGGGTGCTCAACAAATATGACTAAAAATGTCTATGTTACAACAGTTGTACTTATATAATGTAATTGCATTTTCCAGTGTACAATAGAAGGGATGTGGCAAGCTTTTCTGCCAGTGTGATTCTCTGATAACTACTCCTCTAAAAATTGATGATAATATTAATTTGGAAAGGAATAGATTTTTTTTCCCCTCTAAAGTATGACGTTTTGATGTATAAATTTCCCTTTTTGCCTTGCTTGGGTGTCATTTACCACTATTACCTTTAAGACCTGACCGTTTGGCCACAGTAGGTACAGAAAGTCATCATATATGTCCAAATACCAAATATTTGACTTTAACTTAGTAACTAGACATGCTAAAGAGCAAGTACCTTGGCAATCTTATGGCACTTAAGTCCACCAGTGAATTATCCACTAACCAGAGGGTTTCAACTCGAATTAGTCTTCTAAGAATCCTGTTAAAATTTGCAACTTGATAAGAGTCCCCTAAATCCTGAAATGAAAGGTTCAAATTCTGAAGGGAAAAATAAAAAGAAAAAGCAAGTTCTTTGTCAACTTTTAAAAATAGTTATTAATTAAAATTGTGTTGCAGATGTTATTTAAACCAGTAGTTTTCCACCGTTTTTGGTGTGCACTCTGAAACACTCACACATCCCAATACTCACAATTATGTGGCAGTGATTCATTCTCAAGGTAGGGGAGGTGAAAATCCTGACCTGATTCTGATTAGAATTACATACAAGGTTGGAAGTGGGGGAGGCAGGATCCTGAAACTGATTCTGAAATTTTCTAGGGGTAAAGAGTGGAAGGGATAAAATTCTATTTTGGAATTACGGATTGAAATGATTAGTTATCCTTGGCCTCCTTGGAAATATGCAGAAATCACATTTAAAAAGATCCCCCCCGCCCCGTGCTAACTTGTCTTCTGTGTATAATGAAAATTATTGTTGTCCCCCTTTTCTTCTTTTTTTTTTTTTTAAAGATTTTATTTATTTATTTGGCAGAGAGAGATCACAAGTAGGCAGAGAGGCAGGCAGAGAGAGAGGAGGAAGCAGGCTCTCCACGGAGCAGAGTGCCTGATGCGGGGCTCGATCCCAGGACCCTGGGATCATGACCTGAGCGGAAGGTAGAGGCTTAACCCACTGAGCCACCCAGGCGCACCCCCCTTTTCTTCTTAAAGAAAGTAAAAATGACACATAATAATAATAATAAAAAGATTATTTTTAAAGTAATAAGTAATATTATAAATAATTTAACAATAAATATTATTTATATACTTATAATTTATATATTTATATGCTTAATAATAAGTAAAGAATAAATAATAATATTACTTATGAAGTAATAAGTAATATTAATTATGAAGTAATGAAGATACCACCATTCAAAAGATGGAAGCTATTATTTTGTTTTAAAGTAGCTACAGATACATATGTAAAAATTACTTTACCATATTTAACAGACAGTGGATACTTTATTTTTGCTTTTAACGTCAGTCAGTTTTGATATAAAGGAAATTAAAGCCACTTTTGGTGGTAGCATTGGCCCTATAAACTCTATTCTTAAGAGTTAATTTATTTTATTTCCAGAATTCTGCTATCAATTTCTGTCAATAAAATTAACAAATAAAATGGTAATCCCCTTTTTAAAAAATTTGAATCAAAATAATTTAGTTTTAAAGAAATATAGATAGCTCTATCTTTATAAAGATCATTAAGTTCTTAATATTTTTAGATACTAAACATAAACTTTGATACTTTAAGTTCCATTTTCCAAAAGGATAAAAGGTCTTAATTTTGAAATAAAACTTAAGAAATGATAAAAGGTTATATCTATCTCTATATTGAATGTCACCTCCTCAGAAAGGCTTTTCTTAGACGACTGTGTTCCAATTAAGTTTTCTATGGTAGTTAGAATTTATTTAGCCATTCTCTTAGAGTACAGTTATCTCAAGCCCAATTAAATTTTCTATGATAATTTATTAGGAAGGCTCCACTGGCTTTTATACTATATCCATAGTTTAAATGGCAGCTATAAAGAATGAATACGGGTATACACTGAAATGATTACCTCTGAAGATAGTTCTGGGAGTGGAGGTCAACGTTTCAGGTACATCGCTTAAATTTTAAACATAAAATAGTTGTATGGTTTAATTTTTAAGAGTAGAATGTGTCTATCCATTATATATGAAAAATTTTCATTAATTATAAAAAGAAAAGAAAGCACTATGCAGGGGAAACAATATTCTATTTTGATACCTTCCACTACCAAGATGTATAACCTTTGGCAAATCATTTCTTTCTGGACTTCCCCTTCCTTTTTGAAAGGAAAGGATTCAGAACAGACCCTCTCTGAAACTCCTAATTCCATAATTTTATAACATCTATGGTCAATCTGTGAAGCAAAACTGGCATCAAGAAGCCTCAGGAAGCAGGTTTTAAACACAATCTTATTTCTGGAAGAATTCCTAAATTCTTCATGTACAATTTGATCACTCCAAAGACCAAAAATATTGGGGCACCTGGGTGGCCAATCCTTAAGCATCTGTGTTTGGCTGAGGTCATGATCCCAGGGGCCTGGCTTCGAGCCCTGCATCGGGCTCCCTGCTCAGCAGGAAGCCTGCTTCTCCCTCTCCCACTTGCCCTTCTTGTGTTCCCTCTCTCACTGTGTCTCTCTGTGTCAAATAAATAAAATCTTAAAAAACAAAAACAAAAATAAAATATTGGCATCCCACTCTATTGTGAAGAAGTTGATTCACTCTTTTTTTGCCACCAACACATCCTTCGCGGTTACACCCACTGTACTCTGCCTAACCTGACTTGAGGCTTGAAGAACTGCAGCCCCATAGCTTCGTAGTGCTCTGGCTGATGTAGGGAAAGGGCTGCATCAAAGCTAGCGGCTTGGTCAGCTGGGTCATTTTCAGCACCAACAAATCACAGCTCCTATTTTCACTGGTAAGAAGTTTTGTTTCTGGAGAGTTGTGTTCAGACCAGGCTGGCTGCTCCAGCTGTTTAAAGTTTTGGGCTGAATGCATTATTCAAGGTATTCTGGATTGCATCGTAAACTCTTTGACAAGAAATATTGTCCAACATTTGACACTTATTATTATCAAAAGGAACAATTGCATTCTGAAGTATTTTAAATTCTTCCAAAGTCCCGCAATATTAGGATAAGATACAGGTTAGAAAATAAGTATCATGTCATGATGAAGAAGAGGTGAACAAAGAGATGGAGAACCCCAAACACTGCTAGTTTTAGAGAAAATGGTGGAGGAATGCTTAGAGTTTTGATTTAGCCCTTAGAAGGAGGGGTGTGTCATAACTGAATCAATGAGGAAAAGAGACTTTTTTCCTGTCTTTCAAGCTCTCACCGTGCAGTCCTCCCAGTTTTCTTGCAGCCATGTTTCCCATTTGTTTTTTTCCAGGACTCTTTTCCCAGCAGGCCAGGTGCACTCCTCCTGTCTGAAGAGCAGCTCTTCTGTGGAGGGTCCTGGGCAAATACCACAAGGTGAGATCTAGGAAGTAGGTTTACAGTGGCAGGACTGACATCTTGCCTGATATTTGGCCAGTTGTTTTAAACTTCTGCTTGATATCAGGATTGAGGAGAACATGAGCTGGCCCATATTATGCCCCAATAGTGTAAGCAATAACAAAGTAAGTCCATTTCTAACCGTATTAAATTATTTGGAGCACATGTAGGTAAGAAAATCACCAAAAGAGTGACTTTAGTCTTTATACAGTCTTCTCTTTGGGGATGTCACTTATGGCTTTCCCTCTCTTTGGTCTCTCAACTCAGTTGGCCACTTGGTTCCATCACTTTCCCCCTGAGAATCTGTCCCTTGCTTTTGCAATGTTGGGACTCTTCATAACTTCCTACCTGAACTAAAACTATTTTCTCTTGGATTGCCTTGTTTCCAATGATCTCTCCTTCAATATAAATGATACACATGGCCATCCAGCTTTCCTAAAAAACAACTTCGCTTAAAACGTTTCAGAATTTCTCACTGCCTACCAGTTCAGGGTGGAGAATCCTGGTTTGTCAAATAAGATTTTCCAGAATCTTATCTCAATCTCCATTTCAAAACTCACTTCCCACTATTTCCCAAACCTGTTGTCCTCCACATCAGGCTTGCACAGATTTCCATGGTTAGGGAAAGGAAAGCCTGTTTCCAGTCCTAGGTTGGATGCTAGGTGGTTGGGTGACTCCGGATGACTAATTTTAATTTTCTGAGCTTTAGTTTTCCATGTCTGCAAAAATACAGGGAAGACTAAAATCAAGAGCCCAACATCAGCTGAATATGATGAGAAATTGTTTGAAGATCATAATGCTTTATAAAAATACTGATTTCCAATTTTACTAAAATGTATTTTTCTCTGAGAAAGTACAGCTCTATTGTATTACTCAATTACCTAAACTTTGGTCTGTTGTGATGTTAAGCGGGCCCCTCACAGCAATGCTAAGCTCAGTGATTTCAATTCCCTCCCAATTCCAGCATCCTGTGTTTCCATGAATCCTACCTGGTACCATTTGTGCACACTTCCCCCTCTCCATTTTTCTGGAATGTGTGATTCTTGGTTCAGAGGTGAAAAGAAATCATTATACTAAAGAAGAGGTTACTAAAGGCATCAGGAACAAACACTGTTTTTGTGACAGTCTTGTCTGGTCTCTGATGGGAGATAATGAGTCCATTTGTGAAGGATTTATGGAAGGCAACAAAAGAGTCCAATGTTCCATTATTTTGAAACAAACATCAGTTCTTTCCTCAGACACACGTGGAAGCTGAAATGCAACCTGACCTTTTGAGCATTTCTCTCATAATGAACTGTACTGTTGCCACCAGGAAATTACATAACCCTGAAGTATACTAACCAGTTTACAAATAAAATATCTTTGGATTAAGAAATTTTCTTTTTCATTGATTAGGCTGATTGGAATTAAAAGTCATAGAACTAGAAAAACTGGGCAATCATCTAATTGGGTAGAACTCAGGCTCTATTGCCTTTAATATGACCACCCCCAAATTTGGTAACTTGCTTTGTGCAGTAGATACCCCCAGAGTTATTAAACTCTGTCCTATATTGTTTGTTTGAGTTCTATTGATCTTCTGCTCTTTCAATTATTTTTTTTAAAGCAGCTCTCAAAGATTTCTTTGAAGTTGGAAGCCAAAGGTCATTTCCACTGTGAGGAGTTATATTAAATTGGATTCTTTCTTTTTTAAATTCAGACATGGTTGATAATTGAAGATCTATCTTAGCAGTTGAGAAGTATAGTCTGGAATATCTGATGACCCTGGAATGTTGGCTTTCACCTGCTATCTCTGAATTTGTCCTTTATCCCCTCACTGGATTTGTAACTCAGCAGCATTGACTGTATTAACTTGCTGAGGGATTTTCAAATAGAAAGCATCTATGGTTTAAAAGAACTCTGCCAACTCTTGGCTCTTTTACTTCATTTAATTGGGAGGAGTTAAGTCAGTCTTGATCTGGCCATCAAAGCCTTGGGAAATTGCTGTTTATCACATACCAGATAACCTTTGTTCTCTTAAGTACACTTCCCAGATGCCCAACTGGGGCAACTGAGATGAACTGAAGTAGTTTTTTTGTGTTTTTTTTTTTTTTTTAAAGATTTTATTTATTTATGAGAGAGAGAGAGAGAGCAAGCACAGGCAGACAGAATGGCAGGCAGAGGCAGAGGGAGAAGCAGGCTCCCTGCAGAGCAAGGAGCCCGATGTGGGACTTGATCCCAGGACGCTGGGATCATGACCTGAGCCGAAGGCAGCTGCTTAACCAACTGAGCCACCCAGGCGTCCCAAGTTTTTTTTTTTTTTAAAGATTTTATTTATTTATTTGACAGACAGAGATCACAAGTAGGCAGAGAGGCAGGCAGAGAGAGAGGGAGAAGCAGGCTCCCTCCTGAGCAGAGAGCCTGATGCCGGGCTGGATCCCAGGACCCTGGGATCATGACCTGAGCTGAAGGCAGAGGCTTTAACCCACTGAGCCACCCAGGTGCCCCGAAATGAAGTAGTTTTTTTTTTTTTTTTAACTGAAGTAGTTTTTTTTTTTAATTTTATTTTTTATAAACATGTATTTTAACTGAAGTAGTTTTAATGGGTGTTTCAGGATCTAATCTAGAAGAAGGGTAATTATTATTAGAATCCTTTTGAGAAGTACTTGTTCTCCATCTCACACAAGCACACACAAAACTTAAACAAAATGACGGGCAATGAACAAGAGACATCTGTTTTCTTCAGGATTTGAGCTGATGGGATTTTCCAATGTTTTCCATCCCCTAGATTATGCTCTATTCCTTTTACAACTAATCACTTGTGAGAGATCGGGTGTTGCTAATGGTCTATGGAAGGAAAGTGTGCCTTATCTCTGCAGAGCGATGATGTCCTCTGCATGACTGGCCGCCGTGGCCCTTATGTGGGATTGGTTTTGTTGGCTGATGACTTCAGCACATGAACTGGCACTTAAATCAGGAAAGAAGGGAGGCCACTGGACTCTCTTTACACATACTCATTTTCAGTTTACTCCTACATCTTATTTCTATCATCCCCCAATGTCTTCAGTTTGGCAGTTCTCTCTAAACTTCAACCCTCCATCCCTGCTCAGAATACAATTTCTTTTGCCTCATTGTAGCACAATCATCAACCACCACCACCACCACGCATACACAGGCACATGTGCACACACACACATGCACACACAAATGCCAACACCCTTATTGTATCAATTTTTCACTTTCTATTCAAATTTCTTCCCTCCAAACTTCCTAAACTAGCGTTTCTCATACTCTGGCCCTCGGCTCATCTGCAACAGAATTTCCTGATAATTTTAAAATTATCAAATTCTTGGGCCCTATTCATACTAATTATATCAGATTCTTTGAGAGACAGTCCTGGAAAACTGCATTTTCCACAAGCTTCTGGGTAATCTGTCCCAACACTAAAGTTTAAGGACCAGCTGAACCCTGCCCACTTTGGTTTCTGGTAAAACCATCTCTGTCTTTTTGCCTGTGGACTTCTTACTCATGTGACACACATGGCCTCTACTTCTTTTGGTCTCCTTTCTTCCAAATTCCCCATAATTTCTGGCTGTTTGAAAAATATTCTCTCTCAGGTCCGCACAGGACAACTTGCATTTACCTCTAGTAGTACTGCCTACTAATATTTTAAAAATAGGAGTCAGTACTTAGCTGCAAACAGAGCTAACAGAGTTAAAACACAAGAACATATCTTACTCAACATTGCAGAAAATGATGCTATTTTAAGCTTCCTTTGTCAACTGAGTTTGAGTGAAAGAAGAAAAGCATTGTGGGGTAAGCATTGAGAGAGGGAAATGAGTAAGCAAATATATCTAAAGCAACTTTTTCTCAATCAATATTAAAATCGTACAATGTACAATGTAACTGCAAGTCTGCAAACACAGATGGAAGATAGCCAAGATATTTGATGTTTTATAAAGACTAAATACTCACTGCAGCCAGAATTATGTATAATATTATTTCATCAGCTTATGGAATATGCAAAAGAGACATGAGAAATGTATGGTGCTTGTTCTTACATAATATAGAATCTATTGAAAGCTACTTATAAAAATCAAACATTATGTATATTAGGGGCTACAGAGAACAGTTCTTCAAACTGTCACACTAGTACACTTATGAAATCTTATAGAATGAAAAGGAATAATAAAATATTGGTTTATTCTACTGAACTTAAAATGCTTAGTGAAAATATAAAATGAAACTATTTGGTTTATTTAGATGCCCATTTGGTGTTTTAAAAACAAATGATAGAATGAAATCAGGTTAAAATTATTCATCAAAGTGACAGTGTCATTCATGATCATGAAATATTGTAAATACATGAAAACTCCAACAAAGATCATTGGTTAAACATATTTAATATCCATATGATGGAGAGATATGCAACCTTTAAAAACTGCATTTTGGGTAACGTTTAATAACATGGAAGAAATGCTCACAAAAACAAGATAAATGGAAAAACTCAAGAAACAAAATCATTTGCACAATTTTGTAAAGAAATATGTGTATATACTTTTCAAAAAAAACTAAATGGAAACAAAAGTCACAGTGATTATTTCTGGATAGTTGAATTACAGGTTCTTTTTCATCTTTCTATTTCTCCAGGATTTAATACTGAACATTTATTATGTATATTATCAGATATGTGAATATGCTTTAAAGTGGCTTCACTAACTATATTAGTAATTCTATGGTCTTGAAAAAGGGAATTTTTCTATCTCCAAGAAATATCTTTTTTCCCCCAAGTAATTTTTTAACCCACAAATAAAATCTACTCAGAGTACATATACAAAGATACACACATTTGTTCTTTACCTTCTCTTACTCTTGGGCAACGCAGTTGACTTCCTTGAATGTCATGTTGTTCGACCTTGTGCCAAGTAAGGTACTTGAAAGAGTCTGAAGGAAGCTTTAAAATAAGAGAAGAGAAATAGCATCTGGCAATATGAGATTCATTTACTTTTATGTGTAAAAGTAATATAAATCATTGCCAAACATTTAGCCAAATTAAACTCCAAGTACCTAACGGTGTCCTCATAGAAGTCACTTTAGTTCATTCTAAATTATATTTGATGGTAAATGGCAAAAGAAATAGATAAGTGTACACATTCATGAATCCACTTTATACCACCTCTGATAAATCATCCTTTAATATTTATTGAATGGTTCTTAGGGGCTACAAATAACATTTCTTCATGCTGTTACACTAGTACATTTATAAAATCTGATAGGATGCAAAGTAATAGTACAACATTGATTTAACCTACCAAATTTAAAATGCTTAGTGAAACTATAAAATGAAACTATCTGGTTTATTTAGATTGAGAAACCTCATTCCATTTTCCATTTTATAACAGTTCTAATTGTTGATTCTTTTTTTTTTAATTTTTTTATTTATTTATTTGGCAGAGAGAGATCACAAGTAGGCAGAGAGGCAGGCAGAGAGGGAGAGGAGGAAGCAGGCTCCCCGCTGAGCAGAGAGCCCAATGCGGGACTCAATCCCAGGACCCCGAGATCACGACCGGAGCCGAAGGCAGAGGCTCAACCCACTGAGCCACCCAGGCGCCCCTGTTGAAGATTCTTTATTATATGGGCCCCCAAGCTTCTTTAACTATCTCCAGTTGTGAAAGTTCTGCCTTTTGAGGCTACACAGAAGCCACATGTGACTATGATGTTGTTTATAGCATTTGCCATCTTTTTCCTAAGTCATGTAATTCTTGCTCACGGATCATGATTTACAGATTATTAACTATCCAACAAGAATGTATGATTCTCCTTGGGAAGAGTTCCAATTTATTGACATTCCTCTTAAAATGCGTAGCCAGTATGAATGAAATATTTCAGGTCTGGTCATCTTCCTTGTTCTAGACAGTATATTATTGACCAGAATGTGTGCCAAGACCATATTTAGGGCAATTTTATATTGTTTACTATGATGGAGGTTGTAGTCAATCAAAATTCCCTGAATCTTATATAGCTTATGATAGTTTCAAGGTTAACACCAACAGAAGGTGTATTACTCAGAAAAGAGCATTATGTTAAATACACCACAGATTCAATCTTCAGTTAGCCAGTGGTATACACATAAACAGAGAGACCCAGAATATTTGATATAAAGAAATGTCATTAGAGTATTTGCAACCACCACTTTCATCTCACAGAGCAGCATTTCACATGGATTATGTTTTGCTTGAGCTATAAATTTGTGTGACTAATACTAACATAAAAACATTTCCACCACTGAATAAGCTTATGAGGCTCTGGATTAAACTGAGTTAAGTGTTTCTCTTTGCTACCAGACTCCACAGAGCCTTTCTATATATATATTAATACATTATGAGTCTAGACTCACAAAGGGTTCCCCTGGACTTTTAAATCATAGAAACTTTTATTCTTGGAGTAGCACATGGGTCTCATGCATTTTGTGAAGCAGAGTTTGGAACATGCTGATTCAAAATAAATTGAAAAGCGGTGGCTTTTCAATAATAATTATTTTTTATTTTTGATCTTCATTGCCTAATCACTGAATGACCATGGTGGTTCTAGTAAATATGTCAATGTTTCCATTTAAAGAATAGAACTAGTAGCAAACTAGTTGGTATTAATAAAGCAACATGAAAAAGCTAATTAGTACCTGAGCAATTTGTTGAGAAAATCTGAGGATTTGCTAACATGCTTTTAAGGAGTTTACTCATTCTTTAGAAATAATCTTTAAAAAACCAAGAAGCACAAATTTTAGGTTATTGAGGAATGTGGTCCCTGGGCTATTCTTGGTCGTTTAGTTCACATGTTTATGGAAGCTTTTTTCCCAACTTCCAGTGTGCTTTTGGATTTTTCTTTTCTTGTTTCTATCATAGAACATAAATTTCTTAGAAGTTAAATTCCCTAGGGTTGCCACACCCCATTGCCTTTTTGTGCGATTTCATGAGGATCTTACTGGGAAAAAAAAGAACCTAAGCTAAAGCTGTGTTTGAGAACAAAGTTTCCATTTTTCAACCACCATCTAATTTTGTACAAAACGCTGTTTGCTTTTTGAAGGAGGTATGCGGTTGACTTCACAACTCCTGACCTTGTAGGAAAATGAGGCATTAAATTTCTTTGTTTATATTTCTGTAAGGTTGTCAGTGTGCTGCAGCTGAGTGACTGTTGCTTCCTCCTAAAGGAATAGTGAATATTTGTGTCTTTTTGTTTTTTCTTTTTTTATTTCTGATGGACCAAGTAACTAATCCATTGGTTCAATAAATATTTTCAAACTTGGTATGTTTCATTTCATTTCATTTCATTTGTTCAAAAATACATGCTGTACCCTGTTGTGTATCAGGCACCGGGGATATAAAGTTAAATAAGTATGGCATTTGTGCTTGAAAACTCATTTTCTATGATTTGGGAGGCAGGTATTTGAGTAACTCATCTGGAGCCAGTGGGATAGGTGAAACAATGATAAATAAAGGAAAGGAGGGAAAAAGCACATGTGGTTACAGAAAAGTCTTGGAAGTGGGGAGTTTGGAAGGAAAAATTTTATCTTGTGGACAAAGGACATTCCAGAAAGAAAGGAGATAAATTTTAGACTAAAGGCAGAATTCGAACTGAGCAGGGGGAAAGGAAGGCATGCCATTTCTATTCTGGGGTTCACTACCTTTTCTTTTCCTCTCTACTATTGTCTTCCTTCCTCCATTCCAGCACCTTCTTTCTGTCTCCTCTCTGAGTTGGTACTAAAAATACCAAACTTTCATTCCTCCCCAATTACAAGGGTAGATTTAAGAAGCTAAACACTGAATTAAAAAATTTCCAATATAACATAAAGTACATTTTATAAACTTAGTCTTAGGTAAAGAGCTAATTAAACATATTTACCGGGGATGATATTCCAGAATCCGAATGTGGATGAAATGTTCTGTTCCTTGACAGAGCTGACCAAGCGTGTGACTCACTCGGACCAGAGCAGTATGATGAACTAGATGGGCAAATCTGACTGCTTGTGTTTTGACCTGAGGAGCTAAGTGAAAGAAAATGCTCAAAGTGTATGTGTAACTCTTTTAAAATTTTTAACTGTAGATATCTTCGTGTATAATAGCAACACATCGTGAGCACCAGCTTTTCCATTTAAAGGATAAATGATGTCCTAGAAATTTATCTCGATCTCAGAAGGACTTTGACATCTTGTTTCAGTCCTAAGCACACTTTTGTGGCTAACAGTCACTTATGTCAAATTCTCCCCAAAGGATAGAGGGTCTAGGTGGACTGCATGTGCTAGAGAGGTAAATCTAATGGTACACACAAATGCACATGCATGCTTCTAAGATATGAACGAGGAGGTCAGCCTTCCTAGGAAAATACCATTCTTAGTGGAGCTCCAGCGGCTGATCTACATCCTTAAGCTCTCGATTGTTTTCCTTATTAATCTGGCCCTTACCTTTTCCCTGAAATTTCCCCCAGACCTCTTATATTTCTACAAATTGGTGGCAAAAAAATTAAAAAGTCAGTTTCTTTAATTAGTTTTACTCACTTTGGAAGACTATTCAAGCATTTCGCTTAGCAACACCCCACTGCTCTCTATATCCCATTTTTATGCCACTGAGATATAAAAACGTCTTTTCTACTCTCCTAGTAATTCTCTGGTTTATTATTCATAGTTTTTCTTACAGTTTTCCATATCTCTTCAGTATTAGCTACAAGTTCCTATTTCTGTAATTGGTGCTGTATATTATTTTAAGCCAATTTTAAAATAATTTCTAAATATTGCTTTTCATGTTAAGTAAAACTAGACATCATATCTCTATTTCTGGCCTCTTTTTTACTCTTGGTAAAAAAATTTTGCAGGTTCCAAGAATCTTAAGAGATGAACTTCTATATTTTATGGCACAATTATTGTGCCTCTGTAGCAATTTTGCTTAAAAGATACATGTCTCTTTTATATGAGGTTGCCTGCATAAAGTAAAACATAGAAATATCTTTTATTTTTCATGGATTAAGTGAGCTGATACAGTAGAAGAGCATAGCCACTACATCATATTTCAAAAATAACACTATTGTGTCATTAAAAAAATAAAACAACTGTGTCTTATTATCAAAGAGAAAATTATTCCTCCATCTGCAACTAAAGAACAAATCAAGAATTTGGTCTTAATTATGTGAAAAAGTCAGAAAGTGTATATCTTGGGGCGCCTGGGTGGCTTAGTCATTAAGCGTCTGCCTTTGGCTCAGATCATGATCCCAGCATCCTGGAATGAAGCCCTGCATTGGGCTCCCTTCTCTGCTCCCTCTCCCACTCTCCCTGCTTGTGTTTCCTTTCTCATTGTGTCTTTCTCTGTCAAATAAATAAATAAAATCTTTTTAAAAAATGTATATCTCTCATATCTTTCTCACTTGAGCAATTCATTAATAGTTTGGATATTGTTTATTGAAATTCCCAATGTGTATCTTGCCACTGAAACAAATTAACAAATACTAGAAGAATAACAGCAAATTATGCGCAATTAATTATTCCCTAAGACAGGTATATCCCATGATCAATAACTGGAGTTTTGGCCAACAATCGGGGAGAAAAAATTGGGAGAAAATGGAATAATATATTGGGATAAACAGAGGATGAAAGTTTAGCTGACTTTTTGGTTCATTTGTCTTCACTAAAATATGCTAGCTATTTTCTGCCAAAATGAAGTCAGGAAACTAGATAATGGACGTGGCCGACTCGTCAGTGACTGTCGTCTTTTGTTACTCTAAACTCTGGTGACAGTTTCACAGTTGTAATAAAATAATATAGACGTTTCCTTCTCTCTTGTTTTTTTTTAATCTGAAGTATGAGAAATGGTCATAGTTCACTTATACAGTCTTTCTAAAGATAGCACAGGGGAAACAGTAAAGTCACATAATTAAAGGATCTGACAAGAGAGATCCAGTTGATTAGGTTTTTACTATACTTTTTTTGTGCGGTACTACAGACTAAGTACAACCATATCAAGTGAAATCCAGTTTAAAAATGACTGAAAATTATCTCATCATCTTAGTTTACATTAGATTATTTGGGGATTTAAACTAGAAGACCTTGGGCCACCTGGGTGGCTCAGTGGGTTAAAGCCTCTGCCTTCCGCTTGGGTGATGATCCCAGGTCCTGGGATCGAGCCCCGCATTGGGGTCTCTGCTCAGTGGGGAGTCTGCTTCCCTCTCTCTCTGCTGCCGTCTCAGCCTGCATGTGATCTCTGTCTGTCAAATGAATAAATAAAATCATTTTTAAAATAAATAAATAAATAAATAAATAAATAAATAAATAAACTAGAAGACCTTTTTATGCCATTATCCTGATTAATACTAGTTATTTATTAGTAAGAGAAGGTAATTAAAACTTGGTAACAAAAATAGATAGGCTGTTAACATCCCCAGTCTCTCTCTCTTTTCTCTCTGTCTTGTCTTTTCTTCCCCAGAATGAACTGAAGTATGGTCAAGAGTTTCATCCCCGGGTAGATTATCTGAAAGATGCTAACCAATAGATGACTAGCCTGATTGTCTTTCAGTGTGAGATCTTTCCTTAGGTTTCAAAGTCTAGTTGCTATCCCTCACATTCTCATTTGGTCCCAGGCACCGTACCAGAATGCCGTGCCTGAAGGGCAGTGTGATGGAATCTTGTGGTAGAAACCATGGGGACATTCTCTAAATCTTCTTTGTTCTATTACTTCTGTCTTCTATTTTTTTTTTAAGATTTTATTTATTTATTTGACAGAGAGAGAGTAAAAACACAAACAGGGTGAGCTACAGCTAGAGAGAGAGGGAGAAGCAGACTCCCTGCTGAGCAAGGAGCCCGATGTGGGTCTCAATCCCAGGATCCTGAGCCAAAGGCAGATGCTTAATTGACTGAACCACCCAGGCGCCCCTCTGACTTCAATTTCAAATAAAATTTCTCTTTGGTCTGCTTTTTTGGGAGAAATCTAAGCAAAATAAGATTTTTGAGTCTTTAGTTTAAAAAAAGGGGGGGCATCTTTCAAATTATGTAACTAACTCAGACTTCCACTTCATCCGCAACTGTCTTAATGTACATGTCACTGAAGTCACAACTGTGAGAGCTGCAAGTGCTAGGAATCTGAGGGACAGACACTGGTGGTACCTCACGCAAGGCATTTAACATCTCTAATGGGCAGTTCCTTATCTTTAATATTCAGCAGATGATAGAGATTCTGACTGATAGGTTTTTTGTTTGTTTTGTAACATTATTGCTGTCATGACAACTACCATTATTTACAAATACAATGATTTTGTAGTTCACAATCATTAAGCATTCGCAAAGGACACCTGGGTGGCTTAATTGGTTGAGCATCAGATACTTGGTTTCGGCTCAGGTCCTGATCTCAGAGTTGTGAGATGGAGCCTTGTGTTGGGCTCTGTGCTCAGCGGGAGTCTGCTTGGGATTCTCTCTCTCCCTACCCCTCCTCCCATTCTGTCTCTCTCCCTTTTTCTCTCAAATAAATAAATAAAATCTTAAAACAAAGTTTTTAAAAAAGCACTTGCTAAAAGCTGGGTGGTGTACCAAGGGCTTTGCATGGATTGATTCAATTTATGCATCACAGCCACCAAATGAAGTGCTGATTATTTTGATGAACACTGTTATTTTGTTTATATTGTTATAACATAATAAACATTCTTATTTTATAGACGAAGAAGCTGAGGCACAGAGAGATGGTATAACTTGCCCAAGGCACATGAATAAATGACTAAGGGCTATTAACCACTTGGATTCAAGTTAGATTCATATAAGCTATTGTGATTCTTTAAATAATTGTAAAGCTCTGTCATTATTAGAGTGCAGTTGTTATGAAGGAAAATCATTAATACTGATTTTCTTATTCCAATCGCTCCACTTAACTACATATAAATAATTGTACTAGTTAATAGAACATGTAAATCTGAGCAGCTATTATTTACTGAAAACAAAAGTTAAGCCTCACATAGTAGAACCTATGAGAACAGCATTCCAGATACCATCAAGCTATTTTTAAAACCCTCTCCTATTTCCCCTCCACAAAAGAAAATAAAACCAGACACATGCAGTTTAGTTGGTATATTGGTTTACTCATTTTTAATCTTTCCGCCTGCAGTGAACAAACAGTTATCATAAATTACAGATCTAAGCCCTTATGAAAGAGAAATTAATTTTATTAATGCTCCAATATAAAGCTGCCACGGAGAAGATGCCATGGCTAAAACTGTACAGCATTTGTCAGCAATGATTTATAGTGTCTTTAAAATAGGTGGCATTATCTGAATTGGCCATCTATTCTTGGTTTTAAAAAGTATAGAATGGCCAACGAGAAGGAATCAGGTGAGCCGAGACTGCTGGATAAAAAGTAACAATAATGTAACTTATCAATTCATGAGCACCTTTCATCAGAAGACGGCAACATCCTTTACAGTCATGAATTTATACGCCTCATAAATTGTTGGCCACAATGGGTGCTGTTTAATTAAAGTGTCAAGTTGGTGATTATGTAACTTTGTAAGTCGAGTGAAGGAGGAAGTGGCAGATGGTCTCATTTCTGAGGAGAAACTGAGCTCCTGCATAGAAAGACTGTTGGGCAGCCATCATACAACAGTCCAGCGGACTCCTTTCAAACACCTAGGAATGTCAGAATTGTATTCATATGATTCCATTTCTTGCAAGCATTCCATTTTCATTTATTGCTCATGAGAAGTTTGTATTTAGGAAGGAAGGAAAGAAGCTCAAGGTTATTTTTCAGTTAGCCAAGGTCACTTTTCCCCAATCTTCAAATTCCCTCTCTTTCCCTCAAAAGTATTGAGGTTCTCCAGTCTTGTGAGATCTTGTTCAAACCAGGCACTTTGGAAGTAAACACTAGAAGAAAATTGCCATGGACTCTAGAGCGTTAATTTTGGATGAAAGGAGGTATTATTTTAGCCTTTCTTATGTCTTTGATCATTCTTTATTTTTCTTTTTTGATTTGTTTAAATCCAGAATCCTGTGCTCTCTCTGCCTGTATTTTACCCACTTGTAATATGGGAATGATTGTACATCTCTACATAGTAGAGATGGTGGTGAGATAATAGAAATACTCTGGGGGCACCTGCTTGGCTCGGTCAGTTAGGCATCTGCCTTCGGCTTAGGTCATGACCTCCAGGTCCTGGGATAAAAACCCCACAGAGGCCTCCCAGCTCAGAGGGGAGTCTGCTTCTCTCTCTCTCTCTCACTCTGTCTCTCACCCTGCTTGTGCTCTCTCTCTCTCTCAAATAAATAAGGTCTTAAAAAAAAAATACTCTGAATGGGGTTCTTGTAAAGTCAGGAGGAGATCTTGATATGTCTTCATTTCGGAAATGGCAAATTGGATATACCAGGTTTTTAAATTTCTGATGCTTCGAAATGAAGTTTGTGACACTAAACCCATTAACTGAGTAAATAATAAGATACCAATAAAATGTAGGGGCGGAATGCTTTTTCCTTCTTCTCTTCTAGGTTCTTCGGCTGATCTTACAGTTAAGTTGACATAAGAACAAATGTAATTTCATGTGTGTGGGAGCCCATGAAAATATGATACTCAAAGAAATGACATGAGGGCAGCTTTATACCTCCTAGACTAAGAAATAATAAATTTTTGAAGAACTGACAATTTAAAGAAGTTTGGGCTTGGAGTAGGAAATAATTGTTTATACACCTTTCTTGGCCCTGAATTCCCCATCACTGGTGATAACAATGCCTTCCATCCTCCTGATACAGGGAGGATAACTTCATATGGGAGATTTATTTCCTGCTTTCAGGAAGACAAAGGAGGATCAGAGTGTCCTTCTTACACTAGCTGTTTCTTAACTAACTTTATTCAAAATAATCATTATGATGAAGTAGCATATTTTGGATGGCATATTCTTCTCCCCCCTTCAGTGTTGTTCCAAAAAACTATATGTTTTATAGATATTCCAATAATACTTCAGATACGTCTTAAATTATTTAGATTGTTGATTCTAAAACCATAAAACAACGTATTTTGAAAAAAGCACAACTAGAATTGTCATTTATCTTCTTCTGTCTGAATGAGATAATTTTATGTGAACTTAAAATCTGAATTTTTCAGTTTTATACAGGGTGCATTTTCATCCTGTTCTTTAGTTCTGTGAGCATTCTTAGAGACACAAACAAGCCCCCAAATTAAGGTACAACAAAAGTAAAAGAACAAACATCAGACATTTCCAGAGGGAAAGCTTGTAAACTTCAATAACCAGTAGCGTGTTCACTGACATTTATAGAAGTATAAATATATTTAAATGCCAGAACCAATGAAGAGAAAGAGATTGAGACACCTCGATGTTCCCTGTACAAGATGATACTTAGAAATTTTGAGAACTTTATTATAACCACATATATAGCTATATATATGTGCTACTTAGGTTTTCAATGCTTGAAGAATGTTTTACTACACTATATGCTTTTGTAATAGAAAATTCAGCCACATACAAAACACTACAAGAGAGAATAGACACACTACAGGATAATAAGTGATTGAGGTAGATATTGTGAACAAAGATAAATCTATGACATCCCAAATGAAACCAACTGTATATGGGGAAGGTAGTATGAATAAGACTTCTGTTTTGTGATGTGCAGAAATGTGATTGAACAAATACTAGCACTCAGAAATTTTTTTTTTTGCTTTCTTTTTTCCCTCTCTCCCAAACTACCTACTTTCGTTCCTCCCTTCATTCCTTCCTTCCGTCCTTCTTCCTTCAAAATTTAAAGATTAAAATTTAAATTGTAATTTGGACATCACTTTTTATACCATGTCTAAAATAATTTTATAGATATTTACTCATTTAAAAATAATAATATTGATCATAAATGCCATTTTATACGGAGGTCACAAGTAAGTCTCCTCTGGTATTGTGTATTAAAGGGTGTTAGCAAGCGGGGAAAAATAAAGTGTTTAAGTCTTCACAGAATTTCTTACCCAGCTAAAAACGATTATTTCACATATCCATGTCTCCAAATTATGATAGTTTTTAACATTAACATTAACCACATTGAGGCACTGTTTGAGATATACACAGCTTGCTAACAAAAACAAAACTTTAGTAAGGGAACCGTTTTGGTTTCTAAACCCCACACCTGAGCCTGATTCCTCTCTTAGCTGTAGGCAGTATATGGAAGCTATCAGTAAGTTCCATGTACTCATATGAAACTTCAAGGTACATAAACCTGAGAACTGAAGGTGCAAGTGTCATTTTTTGAAAGATGAGAGCCAAGTCACACACCAATGTAAAGACAAAAAAGAATTCAAGAAACTTGCAATCCCTCTAATTGTATAGTGTCTAATAATTGGTATGTTTTGAGAAACGTTTATGAAACAGCTATGCAATTTGAAAGTGAGGAAACAAGGATTGGGTTTTGGCCTCTTAATCTGATTTGTGGCTTTATTGAGCTAGAATAGTTCTGTTTCTGTGGTAGTAATTTTATTTAAATTTGTTAATAGGTATTAACTAATATTGACTAATAACTAATAGATATTACCCTAACAGCTCTTTACTTTCGATCTTCTTGCCTCTTTCTCCTGCAGCTCATGCATGCTCTCCCAAAGAGCCCTGTGTATTTATAGACATAACATCAGCTGGAACAGTTACAACCACCTCTCTGCCACGATGATCAACTGAATTGCATTTATAAATATTTGCATGGTGTTACGAGAGGGGGTGTCAGAAGGGTTTGCCTCTCTCTCAAAGCAATCAACACCAGTAATACAGGTTGCACGACTTTATATTTTTAAATGAAATGTAATCCAGTAACCCTATCTATGTTTGTTTTCTCTCAAGTAATGTCTAAAGTTCCTTGTAACGTTGCGTTTTTCTTACCTTTCGGACATGTCTTGCTGGTTCCTAAAGTTCCTCTGGCCTTCATAAAGCTATTTTTCCAAAGACATTTTTCATCACGTTCCCAGGAGGGGATATGAGATTGTCCACCAAGAATCTGTTGCCTCTTTGGGGGGGGGGGGGTCTTCCGTGTATTCACTGTGACCAAGGAAACAAGCTGTTACCTAGCAACCTGGCCTTTCAGAAGGTATTGTTACCAATCTCTTAGAGCTCATCAAAGGCATTCTTGTGCTACTGGAGCAGCATACCAGTGGGTATTGTTTCCAGGGAGTTGTCTACACTGTGATATAACTGAACCTTGACTACAGAAACATAAATGGTAGCAGAGAGAACAAACCTCTATAGACCCCTGAAAACTTTGCTGTCTTCAGTTCCATCATTTCTTGAATCGTTTGCATCCAGCGTGGGTTTATCCAAAGTGATACTTGTACAATAGATCCCTTGGTATTTGGTTTTTTTGCTTCTCTTCTGTAGTTTTAGAACTAGCAGAAGGAGCAAAAGGTAAGTTACCTAACTCCTGCTTGAACCTTGCTGAGATAAAATGCCTTTGAATCGAAGACACAGAATTGTGCACAAGAAAGAATAATAGATTAATAGTAGATTAATAGTGGATTTTTATTTCAAACCAAATATTTGCAATTTTTCACAGAAGAGAGGAGAAAATATTATATTACATTGGTGATTGGTCCAACCAGTTTTAGAGTGCCTACTATGAGTATAGTAGGGAACACCATGAATTTTTAACTTCATGAGCCAATAAAAGTTCTCTCAATCCTTCCCCAGAATAGAAAAATGTTAGCTGTGTTTTTGAAAACCGAGAATTTGTTGTTTGCCAGAAGCACAGTAAACACTTCCATAGTCTTTCCTGCTTCAGAGAACAAGATATTTAGGAAATTATTTTATTCAAAACCTTGTTTCAAAAGAAGATATTTGGTATGTCTTGGAAAAAGCACCATGTTTACCTTTTCATTCCCTTTTTTCAAGCAGCAGTTTCCATCCATAGACTGAAAACGTTTAAGTAATCTTATGAATGTATTTGATATCAAAAGAATGAAAACATATTCTCCTCTGCATTAAGTTTCTGTTAGGACTTCAATTTTACATCCCAAATGCTTTAGGCTCAAACCTAGCATGGCAACCTTCCAAGTTAAAAAAAAAAAAAAAAAGTTTAACACATTTGATAAAGATCCAGAAATTGATTTGTTTTTATCCTAGTTAATATAGTTTTTAAGGGACTATCAAATATCTTAAATATTATATCTCATTGATTTTTTGTTTTTTTGTTTTTTTTTCCATGAGAGGGGTAGAGATGCTAAATGTCAGGGCATCTCTTTTATCCTTGACTTCTCTAAGCATCCTTGGAATTTCCCCAAGTCAACAATGTAGACCAATATTATCCAAAAATGAATTAATTAAGATAAGTAAATCACAGCCGGTCCTAATTTATCTTTTTAGCTTTATAGCCCATAGTAATTACTCTGTTTTCCACTGCCTCGGGCAAAAACTATGTAATAGCCCAGTGACTTATTTCTGACTTTGTCAGAATCCCTGGATCCTTTCTCTCCCCCAGTCTCCCAGATGATTCTCATACGGTCTCCTCTCCCTTCTACCTCATCATCTTTGACCCATTTTTCTTCTCACTGGAACAACCAGAAAAGAATTTCTGCTGGGCACCATCATCCATTCATCCACCAATTCACACTTACCTACCCATTTGCTCTGCTTCCCCCACGTTAAGAGTTAGGACTTATCAGTGCTTCAGTCTCCCTTCATGGACTAGATCCTATCCCTTCATCTTTACACAAGGCTATTGATCCAGACATTCTACTACATCACTAATCTATCCTCTACGGAATAATTCTCACAAAGATATAAACATGCTGTAATTTTTCCCATTTGAAACAGAAACAAAACAAAATGAAGAACATTCTTTGGCCCATTTCTCACTTCAGCTTCCATCCCATTGCTTTACAACCATTACAGCGTGTGGGGAAAGTGTTGAAAGGACTATGTTTGCTGCATCCAGTTCTCCTCCTGTTCTCTCTTGAGCTCATTCAAGTAATCTTTTTCACTCCACTACTGCACTGAAACTACATTTGGCAAGGTGACTAATGACTTCAAGTAGCTAAATTCAGTGGCCAGCTCCTAGTCCTCATCCCCTTGATCCATCCACTGCATTTAAAGCATTAAATTTCACTCTCTTCATTTGCCTTCTAGGATTCCCTCAGTTTTCTTTCTACTTTATAATCTCCTTTGCTATTCCCTAATCCTCCCAGCAATCTCTAGACATCAGCATGCCCAGAGTTCAGTCCTTAGACTAATTTCTCTCTTAACTCACTCCATTAATGAACTTATCCAGTCTTATCACTTTAAAAACCATCTATATGCTAATGACTCCAAAATTTATAACCCTATCCTAGATCCCTCTCTCTGTCCTGAATCTCAGGTTCATATATTCACTTGCCTACTTCGAGTTCCTCTTGGATATTCTATAGTCATCTCAATCTTAGTATCCCCAAAATAAATTTCTAAATTTCCTATTTTAATCAGCCCTGTTCATATCCTCCATTTATTCAAGCCCAAAATCATGGTATCATCCTCAACTACTCTCTTTGTCCTCCAACATCACATCCAATCCCAGATGAAATCCTACAAACTCTACCTTCAAAATGTATCTAGAATCTGACCACCTTTCACCGATTTCACAACTACTAGCTTCATATGAGACCCCATATTTCTTAACAGTATCATTGCAACAGCCCCTTTACAGGTCTTCTGCTTTAGACCATACATCCCTACATTGTATTCTCAAACACAGCCCTCAGAGTCACTCCATTAATGCACAAGTTGTTCTGCTGATCAAAATACATCAGTGGTTGCCCATTTCACAAAGAAAGGATTATTATCCTTATGATGAGTTACGTGGCACTGATGTGTCTGATTTTAAGAAAGAAAAAAAGTAATACTTCAATATTGAAAGTAGTTTTGTTATGTTCCCCAAACAATCAAGGTTTACACGGACTAAAGTTCTTTGACAACCCGAGTTGTTTATGTCAGTTAAGGACAGTTAGGCAGTTGGTACATGTTGTTAGAAAACTAACAACACAGTAGTTTCCCTATTTCACTACTTGATTTTTCTCATGCCAAACACAGTGACTAGAACATCATAGGCATGAGATAAGTATTTGTTAAATCATCAAGGGAAAGTACAGGCTCTAAAGCCATCCTGTTGATATGGAAGATGGAGACAGTTTACAGCTGAGAGGTGGTCATTAAGCTGGAGAGTACTTCACAGTGTAACTATAGGGAAAAGTTTTTGTGTTTACATATGCTTTGCTTCTGGAAAACATTTCAAGAGGCTTCTTTCAGTAGAAAATCACTTTCATTCCCAACAAATTGACCTGGCAGCTTTAAAAAAAGAAGTGTATATTTTCCAACAATAATAGTATGAAGAATAGCTGATGGGGAAACCAGGCAAAATCTGAAAAAACAAAAAAAAATTCAATGGCGTGTTTGTAACATAGATATATGGATCCTGCTCAAATTCCATTGTTTGTGGAAAAAATAATCATATAGAAAGCTTTTGTTTTTTTCCTGTAGGATTAAATTGAAGACAAATTAAGGTTTTGTCCTTTCTTCTTCTTATTGGGTGAGCAGTTACGTGCTTGGTCTAACAGAGTTTTGAGTACCTGGCCGAGGCCTGATATTATTAATAGATACTCAACAGCAGAATGAAACTAATGAATTAGAAGTGCTTTGAGAGATTAGATGTGAGAACTTTTCTCCCCTAATGAAGTCAAAGAAAATTAGGCAAACCAAAGACTTTAGCAGCTCACACGGAAAAGCAGAAAAACAGAGTTCTAAACTTAAATTAGAAGAAATTGCTTTTAGGCAATACTACTGATAGAAAATATGAGATGGGTCAGGTTCCTGTTATTTTAGACCTTTTTTTTAAAGAATCCTTGCTTAATATGGAATCTTCTAACATAATTACATAAATATATACATATATATTTGCATGTCTATGTATATATATGTATAAAATTTAGATTTTTTCATGTAAAATTTAACTTATTTGAGTAGCTCCTATTACAAAGTCATATTGTAAAATAGTAGTTTCCAATCTGAGTATAATATAAATATGCAAGCAAATTTCAAATTAATTAGCTGACATTGAATTGACAATTTTTTATTATTCAAATAAAGTAAAAATAACAAGAATACTGTATACTTTCATCATTATTTCCAAAATGAAAACATACATTAGGTAACCTCAACAGGAAAAACAGTATTTTAAAATAAGAAATATTCCTTTAAATTAACAAAATATCTTCTTATAAAATTCTTCTATGTTTTGGGTTTGTTTGTTTGTTTCTTTTTTTTCTTTCCTCATCTGCCCTTGGCTTAGCTGATACTAACTTGTGGACCAGTCTCTGGGTCTCTGGGAGTCAATCTCTGAAATCCATTTTAGAGAAGGAAACAAGCTGCGCAAGTGTGCACAACAGAGTAGAAACATCCTATTTATTTAGCAGATTTATCATCCCAAAACTCACAGCGGGCCATAGGGCATGCAATACTAATGTAACTCGTGTGTTATGGTATGATAACATCATGTGTACACAAGGGATTTATATGAAGTATGAAGAAGGGTTTCTTGCTTTCAGATAAATAATGGGATGAGTTAACAGCTCAACTCTGGAGAAAAAAACAAGTATAGAGTGCGTCTGATAAAAAGTACAAGAGATCAAACTAAAAGGTATGTGGGGTTGTCCCAAATCTGAAGTTACAGCACTGCTGATTCTTGGAATATTAAATTTTTTCTCATATAGATATTATCTTTTTAGCTTAACACAAGTTAACTCATGAGTTCTAAAGATTTTTCTTTCTGCAGTATAAATGGCAGCTAGCCAAATGCCAATGAAAATTCACATTTTTGAATTTTCATTTCCCAAAAAATATATGTGCCAAGATTTCTGCTTCATTTTACCAGAGCCTGTTAAAATTATCAGTGTTTCCTAGTCATAATAACTTGCTTCTTTAAGCAAAAGGAGATTAATAAATGTTCAACATTTAATGAAGCTGCTGTATATATACTTCTTTTGCTG